AAAATTATATTAAAATAAAATATCTCTTAATTGAAGGCTTTTGTCAGTCAATCGCAAGATATTTTACGTCAATTTTTAAAACTCCATTAATTATAATCATAAATTGCATATCAATTGAAGTGAAGGTGAATAATGTTGTCGTTTATTCAATCATATTGAGGACGTGTTTAATAAACTTTAATCAAGTCTTTCAAAGTTTATTATATATATAATTGGTGTGACCCGTAATTACATTGAATACACAGAATTGCCTTTTCTTATTAGATAATTGAGTTTGTAAGTTTGATTGCCTTGATAAGTCTGTAACACATTATAACTATTTAATACAATTAGTATTTCCAATCAATCTTTAAGTCATAAGCGTTTGTCTCAAGCGTTTGATACGTTAATTGACTTTAAACTAGAGATAAAAATAAGTTACAATTGATTTTGATTGCTAGTACCAAGTAACTAACCAAGTACCAAGCAAACTAAAACACAAGACCCAAATGTCATGAGTCACACCATCATCTACTCCTACATTGTGTTTAAAATGTTTAAAACTAAATCAGATTAGAAAATTTATAACAACTAAGTGACAAAATGTTATGAAATAAAACATAATGAAAATTTGGACCCAGACCAAATATTTGGAAAACACTTTTTTATATGAATTACACGTACTATCGATATATCTATAATATGTCAATATTGGAGACACGAATTGACAGCAATTAATAGATAGTGTTTTGTTATTCACAATTATTTTTGACAATTTTGTTTAACAACTCATTGGTAATTAAAAACAACTAAACTCTATAATAATATTGAGAAACTATGGCATAATATATAGGTTTGATTAATGAAAGAATTTTATCAAATGTTCACATTTTTAAAGCCCAGGAGTTTTTGGGGGAATTTTTCACATTTAAAGTCATTCTCTATTAAAGTATTAAAGTTATAAACACTTTATAAAAGATTCTCTAAAAATGTTTGACATTTAATGTAGAAATTCTTTCCCAAAATATTTGATTATATTATACATGAATTAAGATCTCAGTATTATTTTATTGCCATTTACGGCCATTTATTTATATTAAAAACGTCTAGACTTTATTTGTAGTTTTATTTAGACAATCAATTAAATTTCTGAAAACTTAATTGAGTTCAAAATTTGTCAAAAAATTCAAAAATGTTTCAAATCCCTTACATTGACGTCAATTATGCTCTAAAACTACAAATTCAATGAAAATACACATTTCATATGTGTTTTACGATCTCAACTGCTCTCAATTGTAGGACATTTAACCAAAATTGATGTAAATATGTTTGATAAAAGTCTTACGACATGAATGTAATTCCTGTTAATATAATATATAGCAATATTAAAACATTTTGCATTTTTTGTTTCTATGGATTGGAGACTATGTGATAACATATAAAATATTGCGAAATCCTAAATGAATTTCACAAAAAAGAGAGATTACTTTTTAAATTTCCAATTTCTAAGATATAATATATTTTATAATTATAAGCGATCTCAACACTAGTTAAGCGAATGCTTTGATTAATACAGTATAGGATTTCAAAAGAGGATTCATTTGCAATTCAATTGAATTGAGTAAAGAATAACCAATAGATCACTGGATATACTGTAGTCATTAATTCATATAGTTTTACAGTTTGGCTATAATTAATGCAAAATTCTGTTTTTCAATTCATTTTCATATTGTATTCACTCTTTGATCTCATATTTTGTTTCATATTTCAATACTGTTTCTATTTATTTAGCAATCATTGCATTGCTATAAATTACTTTATTTTAATTAAATATATTCTTTGCCAATAATACTAAAAATAAAACTTCCAGGAACTTTAGCTAACCAGGATTCAAATTCAATAAATATGACATTCAAATATCATATGAGACAATATAAGTCGGATTTAATTAAATATTATATTATATAACAGAGTATTAAATAAATAATGAGGTCTGAGGCAGTGTAGGACCAGCTCAGTCCAGTTCCCTAATAGATATTCTCCTTTTCACTCAAAGCCTAACCTCTCCTCACAAACTAAGCACACAATCATCAGCTGAGGGCTGAGACACTACACCACAACCACCGCTACTGTCGTAACGCGAGCCCTAAAACCTGTGAATACACTATAAGACTGGAAACACTGTATATAAAAGTGTGCGAAGTCTATGAAACATCTGTTTAATCGTTTCGGTGCTCTTTTTGTGATCACGATTTATGCGTTAAAAAGGTTTTCTCAATTTGTGACCAAAATTTCATTAAGACTAACCTTCCATAAGGGCTACACTCTTGGCATTTCAAGGCAACTGAATTAGCTTCAGGTGAGTGCCATTGAAATCATCTTCACGGGTGACTATAAAAAGTTTTGTCACTTTCCATATCGAGACTATTTTTACACCAATTCCCTTCGTGTACAGTGTTTTATGTTTTTGCAAAATATTTTTTATTTATTTTAGACTTTATAATTTATAAATATTATTTAACGTCTGACTATTATTTAACTTTTTTTAACCTAATCATTTTTAATATTTTAAATCAATATAACAATTAATATAAACTTTATAGCAATTGCTGTCAACATTTAATATATCCCAGACTTAGTAGTTCAGAGACTATCGATCATCTCTTTCCATAGTTTATGTTATATTTGCTTTATTTGAAGACTTGATCTCAAAATTTGAGGTAAAAGTAGTTTTTGATTGAAGAGAATCGCTAGAAAACAATCCGAAAATCCAATTCATATGTAATTCATATTGAACACAACTTTTCTATTGATTATTCTTGATATTCAAATGTATAATAAAATATGTTGTAATTTTGTATTTCAGTTTACAAGTTGTCTCATAAACAGTGATTACAGAAATGGAAAGTCAAATGGATATTCGTGTACAGGTTTGTGTCGATTATCTCTCACTCTTTCTGTAAATATCGCCAAAAAACAAGAAAATCTTTTCAGAGAATAGTATCTCATAACTCAATTAAATGCATAAAAAGTTGCCATCAATTTGTTTATTCAAAAATCATTGATTTTGACGTTTAATTAGTCGCGGATCGCAATGCTTTCTCAGACCGTTTGTCTAATGTATTGAACATATCTGTTATCTCTAATCCATACTATATTATCACTTAATTATCAATTCTCGCTCACTATATATAAGTTATATGTATTGACATTGCATTCGCACCACAAATGCTTAGCAGTGATAACTGACAGTCGCTCGCAGTTTCTTATAATTCGCTTTCAATCTATTAGTTAACGTCTTATTGACTTTTGCTATTATTTTAGTCCACATTAGGGAACAAGAAATTCAAAACATTCAAAATGAATAAACCTATTAAAGTGTTTCGCTCTAAGTCTCAACTCTTGAAAGTCCCGATCGATAGCCCAGAGTTCGCCCGTCATATGGACGAAGAGGACAGGTTTGCCTCTTTCAGGGATCAGTTCGTCTTCCCATTGAAGAAGGACCTGCCTTATGGTGAGTGAAACACTTATTTTCTAGTAATTGTCATCAATTTTGCAATAAACAGCTATAAATACATTTATTTTTGTTGACAATAATTGCTAATAACTTGTTTTTAATTTTTTTTGATTGCAAAAATAACTTACAATATACGTTAACTAACAATATATTTCGTATTACTGTAAATTCATTTTCCCAGAAATTATTCATAAATAATTCATTAATGTTACGAAATTAAGTTTATTTATAAGTTAATAGTTTATATTATATATATATATTTAAGTTTATATTTTAAGCAATATATTTTCCTGTAATATAAACTTTAAGAATTATTTATAAAAATTGTTAAATTAAAATACTGAATATAAGTTCATTTGAGTTTAATATAAAATTCTAGAGTTTAAAATGTACTATAATTTTAAAATTAATTTATGAAAATATAAATTTATTTAGTAATAAAATATAATTAAACCTTTGCAAACCTTAAGAAAGAAATTTATTTTGGTTTTATTTGTAATTACATAATATATTAAAAGTACATTACGTAGTTTAAAATACCATTTGTTAAAGTTTTGTGTGAACATAAACTGCACTTTCATGTGAACAATACATCACACGTTAACTCTAAACACAATCAACTCTTTCTATAATTAAAGCTGTACTCCAAACGCACTACAAACTCATACTTACGGTTATCTGTAAATTAATTTCATAACTTTTGAAAAAAGAGTTAAAAATCTAAAATAAAGTGTTAAAATACTTAATAAATAATTTTACGTAAGGATTGGACAATACTATCACTGAAACAGATAATTATTACTAAGCGCTGGTATGAGTATTATATTTACAATAAATTAGATTTAATTTTATCTAAAGAGTGCTCTCAATTAGGAGTGCGACACTCGCTAGTTGTTTGAAATATTTACCGAAACTTTCCGAAAGTTTCTACACATCCAGTGATGGAAAAATGACACAACGATTATAAATTTGCAAATTCTTCGCAAACTTCTTACAAAAGTTGCTGACAGGGGCTCACTCTTCACGTGCTCTCTCTCTCTCTCTCTCTCTCTCTCTCTCGAGGGGTACTCTTAAACCAAAACCATTTCCTAATATCAATGATTGATTTGCGGGGCAAACGACTACTATTAATACCACTATATTATAGATTTCTTATTTCTATGAGAATTAACAGAATTTTTTAATTTTAAAATTAACCGATAAAATGTACGATTGGATAACAATCCTTTTGAGACAGCTGTCTATACTATAATAATCATCGATTAATTATTAATGATGTTTTACGAAATAAATAATAATTTTTTGACTCCAAATCTCTAAAACAGTGGATAAAAAGCGTTTGTTTGACGAGACCGAGGAATGTCTGTATCTGTGCGGACAGTCACTGGGTTTGGAGCCGAAGCCATTGGGGAAATATGTGAACCAAGTGCTGGACAACTGGGCCCAGAAGGGAGTGCACAGTCACTTCCACGGCTACCTTCCCGCAGCCCTGTCCGACCTGATGCCAAAGGCGCCGATGGCTCGCATAGTGGGGGCCAAACAGCATGAAGTGGCTCTCATGAACGCACTGACAGTCAATCTGCACCTACTCTTATCCACTTTCTATCGGCCTTCACAGCGAAGACATAAGATTATTATTGAGGAGCACGCGTTCAGCTCTGATATGGTATTACTTATTATTCACATCCCTTTCCCAATCCCTTTCCCATTGCTTGCGTATCATTATCAAAGTCACACTCGTAATATCGTAGCTAACTATTGCACACGAATTTTTATTTCCTCTTTTAAAGTGTTTTTTCCTTTTTATTTTTAAAATATAGTCTTTTCTGTGATAACCTTTTGATTCATTACATGCTTTCAATGCTCCATATTTTCTAATCAATTACTCTATAACTCGCTTGTAATACAAATACATTTTCCAGAGCCTATATATCTATTATTTCTAGTATTTTCAACAATTCATGTTTATTCACTTCATAGTCAAGTATTTGTTTAATACTTTAACTCTTTTTGAAAACTTATCACAAACATCTCTCTTATATAACACTTGATTTATATGCACTATAATTAAAATAATATACAAGCAATCCATAAGTTATCGTAACTTTTATTATAATCATTTAAAACAAAGACAATAATTAGTTGCCATTTATTGCAGTTCGTTGTGAAGTCACAAATCAGATCCCATGGCTTATCTCCTGAGGACAGTCTGCTATGTCTTAAGCCCCGACCGGTAAGACCAACAAATGACAGTATATTTAATATAAACTAATTGTACGCTAACTCTAACTGTAATACCCATTCATCACAAACATTAGGAAAGCACTGGTATTTTACTCCAGCGCTAAGGCATTCAGGGTTTACTCAACTCTAGCGCTCAGCTGACATTTATTTGCATTTATTTTTAAATCACATTTAAATTTGGCAACTCAGAACCGACCTGAGCTGGTCTCAGCCGATACAGTACAGGTGCTAAATATTTAGGACCTGTTAATAATGTTCAGTAATTGTGTAATGTTTCGTGACTTCTAGAAAATGTTATACCAAGTTATGTACACTTAAGACAACTTTTTTCATATGACTTGGAAGTTAGCTTTCGATACAACAAATCTATATTTAAGTTAAACTCAAACTTAATTTTTTGCACAAAACTATTCTTTAGATAAACGCTATCATAGAGTGGCGTCCTTTTGGGGAAATTCTTTGCATTTTTAGCCAAAAACAAAACTTTTTTTCCAAAGCATATGAAAATATTTATAATTTCTAAATTTTAAAAATATTTTTAACATAAGTTATTGAACATTTTTAAAGTTTAGTTATAAATAATTTGTTTACTTTTAATGGATTACAAAATAGTTGCAAATATTTATTTACTAGTCAATTTGTTTTCAATTGTTTTTATAAACAACTTGGTCAATCCTAATACTTAGTATAACATATGATTTGTGATGTATTTTGTCACGTAATGACTTATTTGGTGACGAATGGGAATATTCTAGCTAAAATATTTACGATTTACAAATCTTATCCAAACTAATAGTTATTATTTTGACCTAAAATTAACTGGAAAATATTTCACGAGATATTGGATATATTGATATAAGATCTAATAAACAATACGACACTCTATTAGACTAGTAAT